CACGTTGGTGATCAAATGACACCTGTACTCTGTTTCTTCATAGCACATCACGTTGGTGATCAAATGTCACCTGTACTGTGTTTCCTCATAGCACATCACGTAGGTGATCAAATGACACCTGTACTGTGTTTCTTCATTGCACATCACGTTGGTGATCAAATGACACCTGCACTGTGTTTCCTCATAGTTCACCACGTCGGTGATCAAATGACACCTGTACTCTGTTTCCTCATAGCACATCACGTCGGTGATCAAATGACACCTGTACTGTGTTTCCTCGTAGAACATTACGTCGGTGATCAAATGACACCAGTACTGTGTTTCCTCATAGCACATCACATCGGTGATCAAATGACACCTGTACTGTGTTTCCTCATAGACATCAAGTCGATGATCAAATGACACCTGTACTGTGTTTCCTCATAGCACATCACGTCGGTGATCAAATGACACCTGTACTCTGTTTCCTCATAGCACATCACGTCGGTGATCAAATGACACCTGTACTCTGTTTCCTCATAGCACGTCACGTCGGTGATCAAATGACACCTGTACTGTGTTTCCTCGTAGCACATCATGTCGGTGATCAAATGACACCAGTACTGTGTTTCCTCATAGACATCACGTCGATGATCAAATGACACCTCTACTGTGTTTCCTCATAGCACATCACATCGGTGATCAAATGACACCTGTACTCTGTTTCCTCATAGCACATCTATACTCATTAGGTACATAATATTTCAGAAGTTGGGTTTAATAAGTCACTATTGCAGTTTGAATAAAACTCATTACCGTGTTTAATCATTTACGAATGAGGTACTTACTTTAGGTTAAGATATTCAAATCCAGTATGTAATACATTCTTCAGTTCATTGAGTCTTACAGCTTAACACTACAATAATATCGGCATAAACTCAACACTATTTTATTTTATCACAACAACCACCGGAGAAAGTGCCAGCTCTCTGACTATCCTTTACAAACAAACGGTGAAATTGACCTTAACAAATAACACCCCAACGGCTGAACGAGCGAGCATGTTCGTGATGGGATTTTGATTGCAATTCGATTACCCTAACCACCAATATTGATAGAATGGTGTTTCATTGTTTTCGAAACTCAGTTTAAAAACGGTAATATGAACCTGGAAATGCCCATTCTTGAATTGCTTATGATTTTAAACAATCTGCACGTTTAATGCTATTAATATGAAGCATTTTCAGGTCTTCACTTGCTATACCTTCAGATTATGTTGACTTAAAGGATTGGCAAACTTAGCCGATACAAGCAGTCATTAGAAAGGAGGAGTTATTAAATGTGCAACAGTGGCTGAAAATCTCGAGAAAAATATGATCGTAAGAAAAACTAATTTGGAGATTCGTACATTAGTATTATACACATACTATTAAGTATGAAACTTATAGAACGCATGCATGATAATACATGTTAAAACTGGATTAAATATACACGAAAATGGTAAACATCAGCATTTAATTATCAGCCAGAGGAAGATATGATGAAATAATAATACACCGAATATAAATAACGATTAATCATTTACGAATGAGGTACTTACTTTTATCTTAAGAAATTATAATCCTGTATATAATTTATTATTCAGTTCGTTATGCAGTTGAGTCAAACAGCTTAACACTGCAACGGTAAACTCAAACCCAATTTATCACAACCAACACGGGAAGAAGATGATACCATTCGAGGTTTGTTGCCATACACAATAAGCAGACAAATGAAGTTTCTTCAGACCGGTGATCTATTTATATAAGGCACAAAATGACCACTAACAGAACTGTAAGGTGAGGTGTAAAGTACAGGAGCGGGAAGCAGATCTAAACATGCTCTCCACGCCGACTGAGGCGGGAACTGTCGTGGGTGAGAGCAATGAGCTATAGAAGCTAGCTACGAGGTAAGGGGAGAGGCACATTCTACAGCGGGTAATGAAACAGCATACTGGAGATGAGTATTTTTATGGACAGTATTTGAACAGCAGATTCGACATAACCCAGTATCATACAGCTAGGCGCCGAATTTCTTGAGCATAACACTTTTTTATTTCGTTTTTACATGGCAAACATTTTAACAATGTAATCTCCCATACGAAGTTAAAGTTTTATTCTGTTTTTAAAACGGTAAACTGAAATCTATTTTACGTAGTTGCTACTAGTTAATAAAAACTCATTAACTGATGCAAAATATTCATAAAAATACATAAATTGTTTATTTGTTGTTAAGCACAAAGATATACAATGGGCTATCCATACACCATGGGTATCGAAATCCGTTTTTTAGCGTTGTAAGCCATCATACTTACCGTTGATCTAGTGGATGGCAAAACACATGAAAAAGGATATAATATAAACGATAATCCAGGATCGGCAGTAATCACATCTAATCTGACTAGCCAACTAAATAGTGTTCTTATCTGCAGTATTTGAAAATTTAAAGAATAAAGGCAGGAATCACACCTAAGGTGAATAGCCAGCTAAATAGTCTTCTTATCTACACTATTTGAAAATTTAAAAGATAAAGGCAGGAGTTGCACCTAATGTGAATATCCAGCTAAATAGTCTTCTTATCTGCAGCATTTGAAAATTCAAAGGATAAAGACAGGAGTCACACCTAATGTGAATATCCAGCTAAATAGTCTTCTTATCTACAGCATTTGAAAATTCAAAGGATAAAGACAGGAGTCACTTCTAATGTGAATAGCCAGGTAAATAGTCTTCTTATCTGCAGTACTTGAAAATTCAAAGGATAAAGGCAGGAGTCACTTCTAATGTGAATAGCCAGGTAAATAGTCTTCTTATCTGCAGTACTTGAAAATTCAAAGGATAAAGGGCAGGAGTCACTTCTAATGTGAATAGCCAGGTAAATAGTCTTTTTATCTGCAGTACTTGAAAATTCAAAGGATAAAGGCAGGAGTCACTCCTAATGTGAATAGCTAGGTAAATAGTCTTT